ATATATATATATATATAAACTAAATATTTAGAAGAATTAAGTTAATCTTTTTTTATAAAAATAAATAACAATTACAAAAAAGCTTAGGAGTTAACATTAACAATGTTAATTTATTTTGTTGTAAACAGTGTTAATTAACACAATTTTAAATTAAAATTCAATTGTCATTTATTTTTGTTTTATAAGAAGTCTTATTAATTGTATCAATATTTTTTAGCATTTAAAGAATTTACCATAAAAATTAAACGTAAAAGTTGATATTATCGCAATTTTTGTTCGATCAATATTACAAATGGATAATGTAACAAAAAGAAACAAAATATGAAAGAAAGCTATTCTTTTCCATTTAGTCAAATAACGGAGAATTAAATACATAGAAAAAAATTAAAATTAAATATTAAATATTGTCCCAAACTTTACAATATTTTATATCTTGTGTTAATAAATTATTCTTATATATGCATGATAGCAAACAGTCGATACAGTTATCTATACGCGAGTCAAATCGATTGTGAGATATGATTATCATATAGTATATATATATGTATATATATCTTGAGATCGAGAGGGTAACCACTATCTGAAATATTATCCCACAGATTACATGATTTCATTTAATTTTATATAATTTTATTTGATAACAAATAATTTTCCTCACTATATATGCGGTTATTTGATAAAATAAACGATTTTATCTAATATTACATAATTATTTCTTGTACTTGCATACGTAATTATCGGATTATTAGAATTTCATATAAATTTTATAATAATTTTAGGGACTCCGTTCCATGATTACATTAAGTGATTATCCTCTCGCTTGAAACTTTTAAAAAATATTCAACTTTAACTGAAGTACCTAAAGACTGTCGACAATGACTTATTGTAATATTTATAGTAGTTGCAACGATTTGCATACGTTTCCAACGTATCGTTTCTAAGTAACATATGTTGACGTTTCGATCTTTCATCAAATATGTTCGCGAAAGTATATATATATATGTATATATACTCTGTTATGAAATATTCTTTACAATTGTAAACTATAGATTACATGGTGTTCTTAATCTATATGCTACTGATTTAATGTACATTCCTTGATTTATCACCAATTTTAATATGCAATTCATTTGCGTCAATAGAATAGTCATGAGAATAAAAATATACAATTACAAACCATTTATTACTTTAATCATATTTGTGTAATTTATTCCTTTTAAATAATAACAATAAATAGCGTGTAAAATTTTATACAACAACAATGAATACGCATTTGAGGCTTTCACGAGTATTTTCTTCAATTATACCAGAAGATTTGCGGGTTATCGCCGTGTCTTTCTTCATTATTGATGCCAACGTTTCGTGAACCATGCCGTTCATTTCATCAGGGCGAGGGGTGCGCTGATACTATCTTGTTGCTGATACAAGATAGTATCAGCGCACCCCTCGCCCTGATGAAGTGAACGGCATGGTTCACGAAACGTTGGCATCAATAATGAAGAAAGACACGGCGATAGCCCGCAAACCTTTTAGTATAATAACAATGAATTTTGCGATAATATCAAGGTTTCGTCTTTTACTTTCAAATTTCTATCAAATTTCTAAAAATCAATTATAAGAAATTAAAGAAAATTAAAGAAATATTTTAATTGTGTAATAGATATATATGTGTATATTTATTTTAAGTTATAAAAATTAATAAAATGTATTTTTATCATTTCTTTAAACAAATAATAAAAATGCATAAAAAATTCTCGAAAATCACATGTTTTTAATTACTTTCTGTTTTAACTTAATTACTTTTTGAATTACTTTTCTTAATTATTTTCTGCTTTAAGGGTTAAATTATTTAACTTTATTTTTTCCAATTTATATTTTTTCTATATTTTAGACGAACAAATGTTGATACCAAGTAGGTGCATATTCTTCCATGAGACCACGTGTTCGCCGCCGAATCTTACGCCCCAACAAGCATGTGCCGTGGAATCGTCGGCTAGAAACAATCGCAATTTAAATATCTTCCTGCTTTTCTTCGCGACGGAGCAGTTTTCTGAGAAGTCTAAGAAATATGTCAAAATTTTAGAAACTTATGATAACGTGTACATAAGGAGAATACGTTTGTCTACATACATTATCGAGACGCCAATAAAGGACTGGTTCTGGGCAAATATCCGTAGATTTTGGGAGAACCACGATTGGCTACATAAAAACTTTCATGATTATATCCGGATGTTGACACTGTGGAAGTTTGGCGGTGTGTCATTAAATTTGAACAGCGTGGTACTAACGTGAGTTGAGCGATTACCTCTTATCTTCAAGGTTTTAAAATAAATTCAGCAACGGTAAACGAAATTGATCGAGAATTTTTTGATGATATCTAAGTAACATAATATACCTTGCGTCAATATTCATAGTCTATTTTTATTTCAAAAGCGACTATCTGAAGTAATATCTTAAGATATGGCATTTATAATATCTTTAATTTGTATTTAAAATGATCTTGCATATATAATAGAAATTAATTATGAATACAGATTCTAAAATCTATGAGGTTTAAGATGGCGAGATTCCAATATTTTGTGAATAGATAAGCATCAGTGTCTACCAAATTTGCTGCAATATGTAATAACATAAAAACACATTTAAGTTTAAGTAAATAAATAAAAATTTATATTTAGATCACTGGACAAGCTAACTACTTTTGCGGGTGTGCAAAACAATCGAGATATGGGTGTCGGTGTATTTGGCGTCGACACGAGCACAAATTTTGGAAGAAACTTTATCGACGCTTGTATGGAAATCATTAAAAGTACAAATGCGAACAACTATTTACAATACAATATCACAAGAGTCATAACCGAAGCCGTATGGAAGCTCTGTTATCAGCAAAACGTGAGTATGATAACGATAATTTGATTTATTGTTAGCAAACAAGAGTAGTCACTTTCGCGTGCTCATCACTTCACGTATACTTGACGTACTTGACGAATTGTACTTAAATTTGAATTCTGTAACTTAAACTATAAAACTTTTTATTCTTTATTGTTTCTAACACAATTTAAACAGTAACGGGTACTTTGCTTATAATGCTTGCAGTACAAAGTTGAGACCTATCGGTGACAACAAAAACTCAGATTATGTATATTTTTAAACGACTGTGATAGTAAGCCCTGCTACGCTCTTATAGGTCGGAATCAGACTACGCATTGAAGATTGATAGATTGAAGATTGAAAGATTGAACTTTGGCTAATCAAAATAATAGGAGCTAAAATTCCTTTATCCTCAATGATCAAATTTCAATTTTCAATGCGTAGTCTAATTCCTATCTTAGACAGACTATAGATTGATGTGTACGAAAACAATCGCGACAAGTTATTTTATGTTATGTGAATATTATTTTATAGATCAATCTCTCTATATATTTGTATATGTTTCGCAGGACAAGGAATGTCAGCGGTTTACGATCTACCCACCGGAGAAATTTTATCCCTCATTTCCTGATTCGCGGGAAGTTTACCTGAACAAAACAAGAGTAAAAGAAATGCTAAAAATGGGAAAAAACGCTCTGACGATTCATTTGTTGAACGATTACAACAAAGACACTGCAGCAAATAACGTGGCGGCTTTTAAAAAGGCGGCTAAACAAAATTGTCCAAAGATATACAAATTTGTTGAAGAAAATTTTTAAATTAACTTACTTGAGCCTATACGTATTACAAATTTACACGCAAATGTGTAACTGAATAAAATTAACAATATAATTAATATTTATGATGCAATTTGTATTGTATGATGCGACATTAAGATAATACAAAAAAATCTTACTATTTTATAGTTATTATAATATTAAGTATATATGTTATATTTTAACCTTTTATTCAATAACTTTTTGTTTTTGTATTAATTTATGTATAAATATTTTCCTGTTTTATAATTGAAAAATGAAAATACACGTGTATGATGCAATTATTTCTCGTTTAAATTAAAGGCTCCAAATACGTTGGAGATATTTTCAGACAAAATATAATAGCTATGTTCAAAAAACAAAGGTTGAGTAGGGCGCTTAAATAATTTTTTACCTGTGATTGAAGCTAAACCTTGTATATTCTGCTATAATGTACATTATACATATATAAGAAAATTATTTGTATATTTAATTAATTAAAGCTGAGAATAATTAAACAAAGAAATTATCATTAAATTATTAATTTCTAACTTACCGACATTAAAAAACTTTAAAATTATAAGAAAAAAAAACGGGATTTGAGCGACGACTTTCCTTCTCGGAATATATATTCTACACAAGAAAATACATAAATTTACAAAATTATAAAAAATTGTAAATGGGGGTATTATTTCATACTAATATTTACCTCACTAAAATATTCTTTACTATGTATACGTTCATCATTACGTGACATTGTTTATGATTTATGTCATTAATATTTATGCGCAGAAATGATTGTCATTTATTACATGGCGTTTACGTCGAATTATCAATATTAAATAGACCTTATCTCGTTAATCTTTTCAGAGAGAAAGAGAAGCAAATCCGATTTCACAATTTTAATTGAGGTTATGTTGCTACTGAATGACAACGTAAGTTGTAAACAGAGACGCAAAGAAATGAGAAAAATTGCCGATACGTCGCTTACGTATGATCGTGATGCATGTATTCTGATAATCTTTACTCCCGTTATCAATTCACAAGTAAGATCGCGCGATGGCCGCTTGACTTGATGATAATCAACTCTCGCGCTGAGACTCGATCATTCGATCGTAAGTAACCTGATGCAGAACGTAATACTGTTTCGCGTTTCGAGAACACTAACGACGCGAAACTCGATCGTTCTACCTCCGCACAACACGCGTATCGGATTAAGCACGTTAAACGCGATAATGGCCCAACGAATTTTCAAAGGTCACAATGATCACTATAATGGTATTACCATTGATTCCATTGAGGAGGCCTGCGACAATAAAATATTCGCACAGCGTCTCAAAGGTAGAGACGTTTTTTTTACCTCATCTCTTTTTCTATTCAAGACATTAATTATATGCACATAATATTATGTATTATCAGAGGCACGTATGTATTAAGACTGTATTTTAAAGAAAATTAAACAATCATTGTTTCCTTTTCAAACTTGCTAAACTTTACTTGCAAAGCATACATTTATAACAAATTAAAATTATTTCTTCGTTGAGTTCTTATATATTTCACAGATGTTTGTTAGTTTATTAAAAAAATATTAAAAGAATAAATTTGATATGTTACAGCAGAAAACATTTTAATATTTATATACAATATTTTAGAAGAAATAAAACACGCATATAATTTATAAATATCTTTATAGATTCTTTAGAGCAATGGTTGAAGGATAAAAGACGCACTATATGGTTTCGTGTGCACATACCGCATACAGAATGGGTTCCGATATTAACAGGACATGGATTTATCTTCCATCATTCCAAAGAAGAATATGTCATGTTATATCGTTGGCTGCCCACCGATGAGAAATGTAATGTTCCAAAATATGCGCATACATATTTAGGTGTTGGTGCGTTTGTGTTCAATAAAAATACTAGTGAAATTCTTGTAATTAAAGAAAAATATGCTCCTACTAAAGCAAGTTGGAAACTTCCAGGAGGCTATGTGGAACCAGGTAGCTTAAGGCATTGTGCATACATTAGTGCACTGCTATTGTATACATACACACATATATATGTATATTATTTATATTGTCAGGAGAAGATATTGAAACGGCAGCCAAGAGAGAAGTCTTAGAAGAAACGGGAATTCAGGCAGATTTCAAATGTTTAATATCTTTTAGACATGGGCATGATTATTCTTTTGGATGCTCGGATATATATATGATCGCGTACTTAACACCTCAGAATTTTGAAATTGATAGATGTAAACGGGAGATTTCAGAATGTAAATGGATGAAGGTAAACGTTATACTACAAGATTTTGTTCTCACATCGTTAAAAATCAATAATTATATTTATTTTGAATTCATACATGATTTAATACTCTTAATCAAATCTGCAAGTACCATATATGCTTGATATAACATGAAACTATATTGCGATACTAATATGCAGCATCTATATAACTCGGAAGTTACACAACAGTTTCGATTTACTAACTTCTATTATTTTTCTAGCTAAGTGACTTTGTGCAACATCCAGAGGTACATGCAAATAACAAAACTTTAGCAACAAAAACAATAGATTTTCTTCAACATCAAATGGGCATAGTTGCAAATTATGGAATACATCCCATTACTAAAAAGCAAATATGTGTGTATAGTGTGCAGAATGCAGACATTGGAAATACATCTGTAGAATAAACTTTATTTAAAAAAATAGTGTATATATAGATATATATATATATAATAAAAAATATTAGATCTTTTCAGTAATAATGTAAAAAAACATTTATAAAGTTATTTTGTTGTGTTACCGTTATTACAAAAATTAACTTATAAGATATAATGATAGAGATAATATAATTAATATTATTAAATAATGTTACATATTAAATAATATTGTAAACAAAAAATAAATTTTTGTCTAATAAATTATATTAATCTTATAAGATTTGATTTGTATATTATATCACATATATCACAATAGCGTAAATTAAATTAATTTTTGTATGTGCATTATAGTTATAAATATCTCACAATTATTATTAATATACTATGCTAAACAATCTGCCTTAAATTAAGTTACATCTTATTTACTTTATGAGATTTCACTTATATGATTACATTTATAATTATACTTTTTTGATTATTGTTATATAAAATAATACTTATATGTTCCACACACACATAGTATGTAAGTTACTGTTCAATTTGTAATAATACTATAAATGTGTGATAGAAATTTTAATATAGTATTCATCACACCATAACAATTTTTATACAAAATTAATGATAAACAGTAAGAAAGACTGTACATAAACATATTTCTATCAATTATTGTAAATTAATATAATCTTTGTCAATTAATATTTTAATTAGATTGGGATTTAATTAAATTGGAAAACTCTTGGAGGAATCGTGGAATGTAGTGTGATGAGCACTATTACTGTGGCAACAATAGGTGGCATATACCATTGATAAAAGGATGGGCGCGGAGCTGCAGTCGTGGAAAGAATAATCCAACTCGCAAAACATAATAAATTGCTTAATATAAACGAGCGATATCCTTTGTAATTAGGAAAAATCTGTATCATACCTAATGTACTGCACCCAGTCAATAGTATCCAACTCATTATATGGACAGGATCTTCTGTGTAGAGTCTCACACCATAGCTGTAAAAAGTTTGTCTATTTTCGTTACCTAATTTTTATGAAATTTAATTTTGATTTCAAGGACCCTGTTATCTCATTACAGTTACATTAAAGTATAATATCAATTGATTATACTTTCCACTTTTATTACAATTTAATATTATTATTATTATGAGAAAACGAAAGTCTTGAAAAAATTGAGAATTGTAATAGATACCTGTAATTTTTTGCCCAAACTAGGACAGATGGAATTGCTGGGATTGCAGCAAAAACATACAACAAAAACAGAAGAACATGATCATATATCTCTTGACTGATATTTCTTTGACTAGTATTTGACTCATCATCATCTTCTTCTTCTTCTTCTTCACTCCTATTTCTCAAATGTTTAAACCAAGTGAATTGTTGGAATGGAGCCGCTAATATGTCCTCTAAATAATCTTCGTACATCTTTATTAATTTCAAAAAATAAAGAAATACCGAAATGAGCATGCTAAGACCTGCACACGTTGTTGAAATTAGAGATAGTAAGAAAATAGTTGAAATATATGGCAGCTGGTTTAGTCCATTTAACAACCAGTCTGACCATGTTGTTGAGAAAGCTACTGCACGTGATAAGAACCTGCAAAAAAATATGACTTATAAAAATATTTTAATCGATCAACAATAAATTAGTAAAGGACTCTTAATATTTAACAACACATATATAAAGGACATATAATAGTCTGAGTATTAAAAATAACCGTTGTTCATTTAAATAGCATAATTGTTATTTTAATTAATATATAATATATAATATTAAAAACATTACGTATTTCGAAAAAATATTATCGATCTAATTTTACATTAATTATGTCAAATCACACGTTAAAAATTATCCATATCCATAGAATAAACATCTGAGGAGGACCAAATACAAGGTCGAAACATGTAATGTTTTTAATATTATATATTAATTAAAATAACAATTATGCTATTTAAATGAACAACGATTATTTTTAATATTCACACTCTTATATGTCCTTTATATATGTGTTGTTAATCGATCAATTTTACAAATTTTCCAATATGTAATTAATACAAGAGAATATTTTATTTTGATGTGAGTAAAAGAACTGTACCTGATAGCTATTCCATGTGCAATAGAACCAAGAAATATAACAGAGCAACATACACCGATGGCAGATCCACCAATAATACATAAAGCAATGCAAGTTTCGTAAGCAACGTTGAAAATAAAGGATAATATTATTGTAATGATTATCATTAGTAGCATCTCTGATTTGTAATATATCCTTATAGAAAGGAAAAGAAGGAGTAAACTGATAACGGCCGTGTAAAGCAATGGCCACCGATCCCGTATTCTACACGAAATTTTATCAATGATTCCTCCAGGTTGAATATTAATCATATAAATACATTCCGGTTCTAATGTCATTTTTAAACTTGCTGTGGCATTGGTACGTCCATAGAGCGTTTGCATTTTCATTGTTTCCGGACCATTGTCTCTATATTATAATTGAATATATATAAAAAGAGCTTATTTATAACTAAGCTCTATATTATAACTAGGCTCGATTTCTTATGAAATACACTTACATATTCGTGAAGATTTTCAATTGAGTCGACCCTATATTCGATGATTCCACTAACTCGACAATAGCATGATACTCATCACAATTTGGCGATTTGATCTCCATTGTGACTGCGTTTGTGATGAAAGGAAGTGTTATATGATATCTTACACTTCCCTTGACAGTTTCAATTGAATAAGGTCCACGAAAGCCCAAGATATATTTAGGATGTAAAAATCTATTTCTTGTAGACTCCATTCGATTATTGTAAAAATAGGAATCGAAATTGACTGTAAGTTGTTTCTTTAAATCATCGGGAGTTAATTTCACAATGGCATGCGTAATATGTGGATATTTTATCTTTTTTAGATTTAAATCAACAGTTCTTCTCAGTCTATATAAAGGATCAGGTAAAAGTCTTGTTTCATTTGTCAAACTCCAACCCCATTCACTGAAAAATACATATATTAAACAATATAAATATAAAGAGGGTAAAGAGCCAAGTAAATTAATGAACAATTTATAATTTAAACAATCATATAAAAATATATCTAAAACAAACATTTCGACTCTGATCAGGTCATTTTCAATGTTACATAAAATATATGAAGTATTGTAAGTTAAATTATATTATGTATACATTCTTGAATTATTCTTTAAGTTAAACAATATTCTCAATTCTATGCAAGTTTTCCATCAATGTCGTAAGCATAATTAATCCTTGTCAATAATAAAAAAAAAAAGAAGTAACATGTCCAAAAAATAAAAATTCCAAGTCACAATATAGTAAAACATATTATAATTAAAAATTAGTTAAGATATTTTACAGTAAACACAAAATGAGAATTTAAAAGCAACTGGTCTTTGTTATGACAAATAAGGTAATGTCAGTAAGTGTCATATATATTAAAATTTATTAATAAATAATAAATTTGTTTTCAATATAGTAGAATTCAATATAGTATATAATTCAATGTTACCAAATTCTTTTTTGTTCTCGTTTTTTTAATGCTGAGCACACAAATAGCCAATCCTTGTTTTGTAAATTTATTGTATCAATAGTTAAAAAATCAGACTTATGAAATAGTTCCACCGCAAGATATATAACACCTGATCTTTTAACTCCGATATTATTCCAGACATACTGTTGAGGTATGCTGACCCATTCGGCATCAGTTTCAAATTGAACTTTGTCTGGATAATGATACAATTTTTTGCCAGAAGTGTGCTGAAATTTTATACATTAAAATTAATTAACTTATTTTAGCATTTATTTTAGCAAATTCCTAAATTTAGGATTATTAAATTTCTTTTTGTATGATTGTGCAATATTATATATAATCAAGGTGATTTAAAACAAATGAATTGAAGATTTAAAGGACTCTTTTACTTAATAATAATTAACACGTAAATAGGGCAAATAAGAGTCAAATTACAATTTGAAATCTAAATCTGATTATTTATTCTAATATTATATATTGCGAAGAATATCACGTAATTTTTGGCGTTTCATCCCGGCTTCCACTACTGGACTCATCAGTAAGGCATTGTAGTGGAAGCCTACCTTATACGCCTTGGTAAGTTATTAAATCGAGATTCTATATAAAGAGATATACGCGTGTCTTAGCACTTGCGAGAATTTGCGAATATCGATAGACCTCTGATGGCGAGTCGACGTAGTGATATTCTTCGCAATATTTCTCCAAAGTAGGAAATAACGTTCTATTAATATATATAGTCCCTCCAAAATTGCGCGCTGAACAATTGTCGGACTTGCAACGCAACTCTAATAATCTGATTTATAAATGTCCCCCTCCTTAATTTTTGCGCGTCGAAAGGATTTCGGTCTTGCAACGCAACTCTAATCATCTGAAATATCCCCCCTCCCCCTAAATAAATGCTAAAATTATTTAGGGGACGAAACGCCAAAAATTACGTGATATTCTTCGCAATATATAATATTAGAATAAATTATCAGATTTAGATTTCAAATTGTAATTTGACTCTTATTCGCCCTATTTACATGTTAATTATTATTAAGGTGATTTAAATTCTGAATTTAGCATCCATAATAATTACTTACTTGTAAAAAGTGATAAGACAAAGACTTCATCATTAAATTAGGATTTGATGTAATTTTTGGTGGTTTTTCCGAATAATCCACAGAATCAAATAGTGACCGCACAATTACAAATACTAGTTGTTTACACCATAGAATACTTAAATGATCCATGGATTTCCAAACAGCTGGTACACTCGTGGAAAGAACATTTATATCTGCTATGTGATCATAAGTTTGTGAAGAAGATACAAGTATATCTCGTGGCCCACCTCCAATTGATACTACCTTTACTCCTGCATCCTTAATTTTATGCAAATGCCTTTCCAAAGTATAATAATACTTGGCAAAGACATTATCAAACACTAAGAAGGGAGTATGAGGAGTAGCCAAATTTATTATCATATTAGCAAATGACACATTCATATCTGGTGCTAGTACCAGTGCTCCTTTTGCTATAATACCACCCTGAAAGAAATACCAGTTAATTGTTATCATTCTTTATAGCACGTATTTGTGTTTCTTACCATAGAATGGCCAATCAATACAACGTTTTTCATTTTGCCTTTATACAACTCTAATATTGTCTTTATACAATGTGAAACATATATAGTTTGTTCCAGAAGAACACCTTGCATTAATAAAAATTACAATGGTAATTAGTATTATATACACAAGTATCAATATGCTAATAACATTCTTTATAATATTTTTTTTTTGTTATACCTCCGTAGAATGCAGAATAATCCTTATTAAATGAAACAGTAAAAAAGTCAAAGTGGAAGGAAGTTGAACGGCTTTTTCTTAAACTTACTGAAGCAATAGATCGTACTAAAACAAAAGAAAAATAAAAGTATTTGAATATCTGTTTTAAAATAATAAACATCTGTCATCAAACTGAGTCTTACGTATTATTAAAGTGATATAAACCTTGCTCATGGGATCCAGCATTGCCTGGTATAAAAAGAACTGGAATGCCAGAAAATTGCATTTTTCTTAATTTTTCTGTTACAGTGCCTTCTCCATAGGCATATAATCCAAACCTTGGATATTCTTTTTCTGTATTGTTTTTCAAAGATATTCTCTAAAATATAAATTATTTGAAAATTCATAACAAAAGTTATATGTATATATTTAGCATCCTACTAAAAATATTCTTTGTTTATATTTAATGAATAAAAAAACTCATCATTCCATGTTCTAGCGAAAAAAAATAAATAAAAAACTAAACATACTAGTTTGACAAGTCTGATTGATAAGAGCAAACTTAGTACTATTCAGTAGATTAGAGATCTGTTTCTTATAATTAAATCGATATATATACTGTTTACTTGAATCGAAATAGGTTCAAAATAAAAAAAAGTTCTAATTTAATTTATATGATTTACAAGTACACATACCACGTACTGTGGATACTCGAACATATACGTCATTTCACATGTATTCTCCTCAAAGTCGGTAACATATCTCGCAATTCCGAGAACGTACAATACAGTAGTCATAGTTAAAAATGGTAACACCGAGCCGTAGAGAATTATCCATTTGAATGACAACATTTTGAGTATCTGTCCTCTTTCGAACCTTTATATAGAAAATATATTTATTATTTGATATATAAATATATTGTTTACATTTAATTAATTTCTATCCTTTGAGCCGAGCCGGTTAAACGGATTTCTTCATAGATTACAATTTGGACAATGAAATTGAAGTTACACAAAAAACAGAAAATACAAAACATTTAATCAATTTTTGCTAAATTACAAAAAGATATCCATAAAAATGAAAATTACGTACCAGGATGCACTGTTAATCTCGTCTGTTTCCTCGACCTTCATTGAACTACAATTATAATATATATATTTCTCCAGGTTTTTATATATATATTAAAAGAAGAATGCTTACGCGAATAAAATTTAACGCATGCGCAGTGCACCATAAGACTATTTACCCTCCATAGAACGTCGAGAGCTCTATCGATCGAGTGTTAAGTCCGATCTACAATTGCGTAAATGTGTTGTAGTGTTAACCAAGATACAATACTTAGCTGGGTTCGGCAATGCAAATCTGAGGCAAAGAGATTATATAACCTCTTTGATCTGAGGCGTCGGACTGTGCTCTTTTTCTATAGTGCAATGGACATATGCTATATAAGAGCATTCCGACTAATAAGAGAGTCGCCAACATGACACGTGACTCGAATCGCGCGCTGATTGGCTTGGTGCTATTTATATATATCATCGACATATAGTGGATTGGCTCGTGACATCACGTGACATGAACGATGCGCATCCTACGGAATGCTTCACCTTGTATTTCCACCATGGTCACACGTGCACGTGCTTTCTGGCCGTATTGCCTCCGCTCACTCTATGGAGCCAGGAGCCATTAATTAATAAGAAGAGTGCACGTGCTTTGCTTGTGAGATTCGACGAACCGTGACGGTGACGGACGTGTTTCGGTTCGGGTGCTTTCCATTGTATATTTTTGAAAGTGTTGCCGACTTTGACTGTGCGTTGCGTCACACAGATGCGTGTCTGCGGATGAGCTCGTCTCGATTGTTCGTCATTTTGCACTTTACGACGACTAGGGCTCTTGTGACGCGCGTTATTGCGACGTGACGACGCCGTAGACGCAGGCGTCCGGAAACCGGTCGAGCAACGCCATTTTCGCGGGCATTGCACCGTTCGTTTTCATATTTTTGTACGGTTTACTTTAAAGACGTGATCTGGTCGCATCGACCTCCTATTTCATTGCTTGGAGGCTTGAGCCATTATTTAAGGAAGAAGAAGAGCTTTGCTTGTTGTGCTATCAGTTGCGCCAGGCCGCCGACAGATGGCGCTACCGTCGAGTGCTGCAAGCGGGTTGAAAATCGCATCAATGGTGAAAACGCGAAAGCGAAAACGAACGAGTTCGGCGACAGAGACAATAGAGTCGTCAAAGGAATTCAACTTGAAGGATTTATCGAAAAAACAAATTCTAAAATGCATTTCCGCGATTTTTCATATGACTCAAGAACAATTAAAAGAGACGACCAATCTTCTCGCTGAGGAGGCTCAGCCAATATTTATACAAGTGACTAGCGTTAAAGTGCCACAGATGCCTCGTAGACAAATGAGGATGTAAGTGAATTTATAGATCTTAAAAGATTTCGTTTTCTTTTCATTAAAACATTACATGATTATATATTGTAATTGCCAATGGATCCTTATGAGATTTTCTGATTATAAATCCTATAATGACGACATCTCATGTATAATGATATTATTTGTTGTGTTTTTGTTAAATTTCTAATTAAAATTTGTCTTTGTTTATATATGCAGACTGTTGCCGTATTCCATAGTGGCTCCAGATGATGAAGTAGCTTTATTTGTTTGCGATTTAGAAAAAGGAAGAAGAAAAGATTATGAACCAACAGTGGAACACTATAGAAATTTATTAAACAATCATGGATGCACCCGTGTGAATGAGATAATACCTATAAATCGTGTGAAAACTGAATTTGATCAATTTGAATTGAAGAAAAAGCTTTTATCCAGTTATGATCACTTTCTTGTTGATGGTCGTATTGCTGGCCATATGTGTCACTTATTAGGAAAAACTTTTTCCAAAAAACGAAAGCTGCCAACTTCGGTCAGAATGGAAAGCAAGGATTTGAAGCACGAGATCGATTATGCATTAAGAAAAACCAGTATGCACCTTCATTCTCATGGCGATACTCATTTGATGCAAGTAGGGAACACATCTATGAAAAAGAAAAGAGTTTTGAAAAATATATTGGCCACTTGTGAAGAATTGTCCAAAAACTATCCTGGTGGTTGGGTAAACATACGAGCGCTCCGATTGAAAGGCACAACCAGTCTAGCATTACCTTTTTACATTACGTTAAGTAAGTTGAAATATAGATTTAATTCATTGACAACATAGACTGTTTTTAAATGGATTTGTGAATTTCAGGGAGTAAAAACACTGTTGATTCAAACACAATTGTGGTACAGCCAAAGAGACCGAAAGCTTACCACGATGTAGAAGGAGAGCTTTCAACATTCGTAAAGAATACCACAGTCATAGTTAAACCTGAAGGCACAGTTGTTCTAAAAAAAGAACAGATTAAGAAGAAATCAAGTAAAAAAATTGCGAGGAAAGAAGCTGAGAACTGAATGGCAATTCCGTTATTTACATTTTGAAAAATCTTGTAAAAAAATTAAGAAAAATGGTAACCGTAAAAATTTTTTTAATAGATAATACATAATGTTATCTAAATTTAATATTAATTTAATTAACATAAATATCACGAATATTTTTATTATGTCTTATTCAATTATTGTATATAAGACAGTAATTAGATAAACATGTAACACTATTTAAGAAATTATCAATTATGGAAGCTCCGTCTTTTTAGATTTTACGAATAAAAACTAGCAAATAGGAAAAACTCAAGAGGTAAATATGCTAATTGCGTTAGACGATATTATTTCTTTGATACTATTATTTGATAAATAAAGGCAGTTTAGTGTTTAACAAATAATTCCTTTTTTATTAATATACTAGATTATGTGCAAATATTTGAAATTATGAGGAACATTTTTCCTTCCTAATACTAATAGTCAATACAAAATAGTCTGATCCTTCTTACATATACTTTGATATCCATTAGCGGGCAATGTTGGCAAACTGTTGGCGACACCGTTAGCATTTTGTATGCTCTTATACATGTTTGTCGCATCTATGACCACTTCGATTTCTTGAAAGTTTTGAAGTCTCTGAATATCTTTGTCTCTTCTCAATCTAGTATTGGGCAATTTCCGTAATTTCTGGATTTGATGCAAATTGAGATCTAGCTCCTTGCAACACAGGCACAGTAGAGCCTGGTATGTTAACTCGCTTCGTGGTAATTCTACCTCTATAAAATCTGAATCCGCTGTATTGGCGATTCGGATTTTCAGTACCAATTCTAAAAATATATAATAAAATATAATTTTATATATATATATATATATATATATATAT